ACCTACCACATGACCAGCCACCCCACTCCTGGGAATTTACCCAAGGGAAATGAAATCAGCCTGTTAAAGAGTTGTTTGCACCTCCATGTTGATTGCAGCACAATTCACAATAGCTAGGAGATGGGGTTAACCCAAATGTCCATCAGGTGAAGACTGGGTAAAGAAATTATGGTGTATGTACACCACGGAAAACTACACAGTGGCAAAAAAAATCCTGTCATTTCCAACAAAATGGATGCAACTAGAAAACATTTAGAAGTGAAATGAGCCAGTCCTAAAAGGACAAGCACCATGTGTTCTCCCTGACAACAAATACAGTGCCTAAAAGGTAATCTCTAGGAGTAAAATTGATACTTTGAGATGCAGTGACTTTGCACAGTCCTTGTCTTGACTGTTGAACAGTTTCGTTGTTGTTTCATACTATTTTTTGGATTCTTAGTGTAGAGTTAATCTTATATGTATAAAGTTAATTGAAAATAGATCTCAGTAGGAAGTAAGAATGGTGGGAGGGAGGGTGGGTTGGAAGAATCACTGTATTCCTAAATTTGTATATATGAAATGCATGAAGTTTGTATACTTTATACAAGGTTTCTAGGTTAAAAAAATTAAAGTTAATAATAAAGTAAGGGTAGTAGTTGAATTAAAATAATTAAATGGTAATATTTCAGTGTATTATCTGACATACAGCAAGTGTGTTTGATAAATTTTTGCTATTTCCCCTTTTCTTTTGAGGTTATACCAAAATAATTACTTCTTTCCTTACTGTGTAGTCCTCTTGCACTCTGTACTGACTCCTTGTTTCTTTTTTTTTTTTTTCTTCATTCAAAAAATAACACATAGTATGGTAGACACTGTGTTGCAACAGGTTGGGCTGCTGCCTGGGATGCCTGCAGGCCATATCCAAGTGCCTGAGATTAGATCCCACCTCCACTTCCTAATGCACACCCTGGGAGGCAGTTGGTGATGGCTCAAGTGCTTGGGTCCCTGCCACCCACAGGGGAGGCCTGGGTGGAGCTCCCAGCTCCTGGCTTCATCCTGACCCTGCTCTGACTGTTGCAGGCATTTGGGAATGTGAATCAGTGGGTGGGAGATCTCTCTCTTGCTCCTTCTCTTTCTTTTCTCTCAACCTTTCAAATAAATAATCTTTAAAGAGTAAATGTTAAAAAATAGTTCTAAAATTGCAGTCAATAAGGAAAATGTGGAGACATTGGAAAATGTACAGAAGAAAATACAGTATTGATGTATTAAATAATAAATAAAAATGATAAAACCCAATGATGCTATTGTTTGTTGAACTCAGTATAGAGTAAATCTGATGTGTATAAAGTTAATTGAAAATAGATCTTAGTAAAAAGTATGGATGGGAAGAGGAGAGGGAGGAAGAAGGTTAAGAGAGTGGGTAGGAGGGTGGGTACGGTGGGAGGAATCACTGTTCCTAAAGTTGTATTTATTAAGTGCATCAAAGTTTGCATACCTTAAATAAGTTTTCTGGGAAAAAATTTTTAAAAAATTAATATGAACACAGAAAAACCCAATGGTGCTATCTCAGAAAAATTTATTTTAGGCACATACAAAAAATATTTTCATTGTATTTACTTCCTCTAAAATTATTTTCTCTGAGAATAACTTTTTTGTAAAATTATGATTGTACTGCTTGTTTGCATCTTGTTTTTGAAGATTTATTTATATATTTGAGAAACAGAATGACAGTGGGAGGTCTTCCATCTGCTCAGTCACTCCTCAGATGGCCGCAACAGCAGGACTAGGCTCGGCTCCATTCTGGTCTAGGCTCCATTCAGCAACTCCATTCTGGTCTCCCGTGTAGGTGGCAGGGGCCCGACTACCTGTGGGCCATCGCCTGTTGCCTCCCAGGTGCAGTAGTAGGGAGCTGCATCAGAAATACAGAATAGCCAGGACTCTGTGTGACAGTGCCCTTCCTTGTGTCTTCTTTAATTTAGTATAACACCTTGGTTAAGTTTTCATATTGTTTAATATTATTCCAACATGCAAAAAAATAAGCCAAAGAAAAAAGTCTACCTGTGTTGCTTCTACATCAGGATTGCCACTGTTAACATTTCGGAAAATACCCGTCAGTCTCTCATGTGTGAGCATGCACATGGTATGTAGTCAAAGGTTTTCTTATTGATACACTCTGAATGGTTTTCCATGTTAACATTCTTCTAAAGATTGTTAATGACTGCCTTATGGATTTAAGCAACAATTCCCTATCCTTTTACATGCAAAGTGAGTTTAGTGTTTTCCTATTATAAATAGTGGGGCAGTGAACATATTTGTAACTAAATCTTTGCATATGTTATTACTTATTTTCTGAGGTCACTTTTATGAGACTAAAATAATTAAGGGACTTGTACTTTAGTGCTTTTATTTTCTACTGCCAGTTGCCCCCTAGAAGTTACTTTTAAGAATGTGAGTATGGTTCTTACACCCTTGTTAATATATTTTTCTATTTGTAGACAAATTAAGAAATAATTAAATTTTTTTATTGTAGATAAAGTGTTACATTAAGTGAGAAAAGCACACAGGGACTGATGTGGCTCAGGTGGACTAAGCTCTGGCAATGCTGGCATTCCGTATTGGAGTGCTGATTGAATCCTGGCTGCTCTGCTTCCCACACACCGCCACTGTGTTGCTTTCCCTGCACTTGGGAAAGCGGTGGATGATGACCCAAGTACTTGGGCTCCTGCTACCACATTGGAGAGCAGATGGAGTTCCTGGCTCCTGGCTTCAGTCTGCCACAGACCTGGCTATTGGCAGCCATTTTAGGGGTGAACCAGCAGATAGAAGATCTCTCTGTGTCTCTTTGTGCCTTTCCATATCTCCCTCTCTCTCTGTCTCTCTGCCTTTCAAGTAAATAAATAAATCATAAAAAAAAAGCAGACAGTAGAGGTCAGAACAAGTCAAAGTTCTCCGTAATTACACTTCCTGTAGAGATAATTACTGGTAAGCTTGGGCTCATTCGGTTTTTATGATCTATGCATTACTGTTTATTTTTGTAAGAACAGGATTGTATTATGTGCAGTTAAAAAGTGGATTTAGTGATCACAGAGTAAACCGTATATTCATGTATCAGCTTATTTCCTGTTTTTGGACATTTAGATCTAACTGATATATTTTCCCTGTTTTAATTTGTTCTTTCGTTATATATGTTTTTCTTTCTCTTTTTTTTTCCTGTGTAAAGTAAAATATTAGTCTGTGGTTAGCCTTATTAAAAAATCCTGCCTTGAATTTTCTGCTTTCAGTTTTTCCCTTAAATAGATGTTTTTCCCCTAAAATACTTTTCAGGGGCAGGGAGGGGTTTGTCCTAGCAATCAGGATGCTGACTGGGACACCCACTTGTCATATTAGGGTGCCTGGTTGTAGCCAGGGCTTCACTCTCCACTCCAGCTTCCTGGTAACGCACACCCTGGGAGGCAGCAGGTGATAGCTCAAGTATTTGAGTTCCTGCCACCCATGGAGGAGCTCCGGGACTGAATTCCTGGCTCCTGACTTTGACCTGACCCAGTACCAGCTGTTGCAGGCATTTGAGAATGAGCCAGTGAATGAGACTTCACTCTTTTCTCTGTCTCACGTGTCTGTCTTTCTGTTTCTCAAATAATTTTTTTAATGTATTGAAAAAAAAAAAACTTTGGAGGGATTGGTGCTGTGGCATAGTGGGTTAAGAAATTTGGCATCTGAAACCCACAATTTTAAAGAAGCAGAACTTTGGGGGCCAGTGTTGTGGCATAGTAGGTAAAGTGCCACCTGCTACACCATCATCCCGTTCTGGTGCTGGTTCCAGTCCCAGCTGTTCCACTTCTGATCCAGCTTCCTGCTATTGCTCCTGGGAAAGCAGTGGAGAATGGCCCAAGAATTTGGGTCCCTGCATGCATGTTGGAGACCCAGGAGAGGCTCCTGGCTCCTGGCTTTGGTCTGACCCAGCTCTGGTCATTGCAACCATTTGGGGAATGAACCAGTGGATGGATGGATGGATATCTCTCTCTCTCTCTCTCTCTCTCTGCAATTCTGCCTTTCAAATAAAGATGATAAAAAAAATCTTAGTCTTTTTGGAGCCAACATTTGATAAAGCAGTTAAGGTGCCACTTGTGTAAATAAAATCTTACAAAAATAATGAGGCTAGCCTTGTGGTGTAGTGGGCTAAGCCTCTGCCTGCAGTGCCGGCATCCTATATGGGTGCCGCTTAAGTGTCCTGGCTGCTCCTCTTCCAGTCCAGCTCTCTGCTATGGCCTGGAAAAGCAGCAGCAGATGGCCCAAGTGCTGGGGCCCCTGCACCTGTGTGGGAGACCCTGAAGAAGCTGCTGGCTCTAGCCTCAGATCGGTGTGCTCCAGCCGTTGTGGCCAGTCAGGGAGTGAACCAGAGATGGAAGATCTCTTTCCCTCCCCCCCCCCCCATACTACCACTACCTTTCAAATAAATAAAATCTTAAAGACGCCACTTGTGATGCACACCTCCTCTATCAGAATGCCGAGTTCTGCTTCTGATCCAGCTTCCTGCTAGTGCTCACCATGGGAGGAAGCAGGTGCTGGTTCAAGTAGTTGGATCCCTGCCACCCATATAGGAGACCTGGGGTGAGTTCTGGGCTTCTGGCTTTGGCCTGCCCCAGCCCTGGCAGTTGTGGGCATTTGGGGAATGACCCAGCAGATGGAATATATCTGTCTGGCTCTCAAACACAGTAGGAATAAGTAAGTGAAGATTTGAAAAGTTGTCAAAGGTTATTTCTCTGCATCCATGGTTCTAAGGAGACAATGTTTTTGAGTTCTTTCTTGTACATGCTGGAAGCTTCAATAGAGAAAGCAGTGCCTCTAAGATCTTGTCTGTATATGTGCAGGTTTTTACTGGAGTGGACTCCACTGCTAGGGGCTTCTTGCTGCTACTCTGAAAAGTTTTAATAGGGACGGGGTCTGTGGTGGAGATGACCAGACCCCAAGAGAACAGAAGCAGTGTTTTTCAAAATAGTAATTGTTTCATATCTTCTGTTTAGATTGAAGGGCGTGTTCTACCCATGGAAAGAATTAATTTAAGAAATACTTCATTTATCACATCCCAGGATCTAAACTGGATTAAGGAAGTAACCAGAGACCTTTCCATCTTGACCGTAAGTGACTTGGGTAGAGAGACCCAGTGTTCCTATAGATGTGGAAATTAGGGTGTCCTTGTTGAAAGTGCCCAGTAAAACCCCAGTGTGAATTACCACTGAGCAGTGCGGTTGGTAAGTGGTTAGCGCTAAGCCCTTTGCCTAACTTCAGACAGGAACAGGAAGTAGGTTGCTATGGTAACTCCTAAAATGCCAGCCTGTTACCCATTCTCCCTTTCTTCTTTCTCCCAAGAGTTCCTGGAGGGTGTTTTTATCCAGGAAAGAAGTCAAATTTGATTACAACAGTGCCCCACCAGGGCAACTAATATATTAGCTATTTGCATTAATATATGTGTATATAATAATAATATAATAATAAAGTGTAATTATTACTGAATGTTTTTCATGAACCTGGTATCTTTTTTCTTTTAATTTATACTGAAATACAATAAAAGATAGACTGACCAGTGTATAACTTGATGGATTTTCACAAACGTGTATAATAACAAGGTTAAGAAACAGCCTTCCCAGTCCCAGAGGCTTCCCCCTCCATGCTGCCAGTTGCTTCTTGCCACTCACCACACACACACACACACACACACACAGAATAACCTCTCTCTGACTTCTAATTGCATAGATTGTTTTCAGCTATTTTTGTACTCCACATATGACATGGAGTCGAAGCGTATACTTTTGTGTCTGGCTTCTCCTTGTGCAGCCTTGTGTTGGGGATTTTTATCCAGACTGTGGACATGATTGTCAAGCTTTCATTCTCAGCGTCTGTGTGCTGGTTCATATTATGCCACAGTTTGCTCATCACCTGTGTCCCTGTTAATATACGAGTTAGATACGGCAGAACTCAAGCAGAGGGAGCGAAGAATGATTTATTCTTTAGAGTGAAATCTCCTGAGTGTAAGTTTAGAATGTCTTAAGTTGTGAGAAGTATTACAAATTAGCTTGTGGTTGTTCCTAGATCCCCATGCATTTCTGGGCACTTTTTTACCCAAAGAGAGCGACGGATCAGGCCCGAGAACTGGTTAACATGTTAGAGAAGATAGCCGGCCCCATTGGCATGCGCATGAGCCCTCCGGCTTGGGTTGAACTGAAGGATGACCGAATCGAGACCTATATCAGAACCATCCAGTCCATGCTGGGAGTCGAGGTAACTAATGGATCTGAGGATCCCTGCTGTCAAGTGCTTGGATAGTTGATTATAATTACTCAGTTATTTGTCTGTTATTGATGTCTAGGAACCTCTGTCTCACTCATGTACACATGAAATACTGGACTGAAAAAGTATTCTTTGTGCCTGTTGGTTACTTTTGCTTCTTTCATTCTATGTTGGCACTCTCTCCCACTCTAGCACTATTTTTCTCACAGAATTGGCTGTGAGAAAGGCTGACGTAACTTTAGTTCATTATCTGTAGAACATGTTGTACTCAGAAAGCAACTCCTTGGGCCAGGTGCCATCTTGCACGATTCAGTACTGAGCTGTCACAGTGAGGTCTGGCTCAAGAGTCCAGTTGCTTTGGTGATAAACTTGGCAGGTGGCCCATCAGTTGGGCCCTACTAACTGACGAGGGTGCTGGGGCTGAGCGGGTCATAGCACTCACAGCTCAGTAGCTGAGGTCTTTCTGTTCTTATCTGTTAGTAAATAAAAGTAAGACGATTATGGAGAGAACAAAGGCAGATGGAAAGTTCTGGGGAGTCACTCGCCCTTGAGTTACAGACTGGTGGAGAGAATTGTTCAGGAGAGCAGTGCTAGAATCTGATTGTGTTCTCTCTCTGCTCCGTTACTCTGGGTCTTTCATTCATAGCAGCGCTATTGTGTGCTTGCTTTCTCGGGTTCTGTTCTGTTTCCAGTTTCCTCCTTACCTCGCAGCCACACTGTGTCATAGCTTCCCTGGGGCCTGCTGGTTGATACTTTCTGGTCCGCTCTCAGAGGAATAACTCAGCTTGGTACATCAGCTCATTCCATTCATAACTTCTCATGTTTCCTTTATGAGAGCTACAGTCAGCAATTTTCATGTTGGTGGACATGGGTTTCATTCATAATGTCTACCAAACTTCTTGTATTGGTCTTGCTGTCTCTCTGCCACCTTCAGGGCATTCTGGTTTTAATATATATTCTGAGAGATCACAAATGCCGATGTCTACATCAGATAGAAGAGTAACATCAGTGGATGAAGCGGGCCTGTACGGGGCTACTGCAGTGAACCGGAGATGGAACCCAGCATCGTCAAGTCTGGATTTGCATATGTGTACAGCAGTGTGTGCTTACAGGTTGATTTAAACAAACAAATGTATTATCTTCGTAGGGCCTGAAACAAACACGCCTGTTTGCTGGGTCCCCCATCAGCTCCCAGTGCACAGCGGGCCACATGACTGTGATGTAATTCTGGGACATGTGTCCTCTGAGAAGTCTGACCTAACTCCAGTCTGGAGTTGGAGCCGTCGTTCCTGACTTCTCATTCACGCGTTTTGCAGCACCGAGGGCTGGCAGCTTGCCGAGCGCTGCGTCTCTTAGACTCCGGAAGGCCCTGTGTTTGGTCTTGAGCAGTGAGGGATGAGGAGGCTGGGTGACGGAGGCTGCTAGCAGTGGTAAACTCTCCTGACTAGAGTGAGGACTGCACACTGAGGGACTTGGCAGCAGCTTCCCTCCTGCACTGGGCGCGGAGCCCGTCCTGAGTGTTGCATCCCATTTTTTCTCAGTTGTGTGGAATGAATCTAACAAGTTGCCTAGTTAGAGTGCTAACAACTCTGGCGAGAACTGAAAGCAGTAAGTAATGTAAGCCTTGCATGCTTTGAAGCCTCCTCCTTTTCCAGACATCTCAGATCTACTAGTGAGTAAATCTTCAGTAATCACAGCCAGCTCTGGGTAGTCAATGGCAACACATTAGCTATCAGCACAGAGCAGCCCTGAGCCACACAAGTGCTACTTCAGACTGCAGGACCTTCTCCTGGGTCCGTGTCCCCCGTCTCCTAGACAGCCCCTGACTGGATTCCTGTGGAGTCCCCGAGAGCCCCCGAGCTTGACTCAGCTTGTGCTGTGCTTCATGCAGGGGAAGATCCAGATGGTCGTGTGCATCATCATGGGCACCCGCGATGACCTCTACGGGGCCATCAAGAAGCTGTGCTGTGTGCAGGCCCCCGTGCCCTCACAGGTGAGTGCCACTGGGGCGGGAGGAGCTGAAGTAGCTGGCAGAAGCCAGGCTGTGGAGAGCCTTCTGGCGAGAGGTTCAGCTGCTTAGAGGAGCCTGGAAAACTGCAGATCTCTCCTGATGAGTGTTGCCCTCACGCTCCCCAGGACCGACTTGCTTGTTGAGAGGCTGAGTCACCGGGTGGTTTCACGGGCTGGGTTCTGCGAGCAGTTTGTTCTGAAAGGGGAAAGCTGTTTCCCTAAGGGACTTACAGTTCCGCTATGCACATACCCTTTTGAAAGTTTTTATTTGTCAGCTGGCTGCTTGTTTGGGTTTGTGTTTTGTATGTGTGTGTGCACAGGCTGGAAGCCCTAGAATTAGACTTACTGACTTAAAAGCTATCGTCTGCTAACTTGCCTTTCTAAGAAAGTGTGGTATTTGCTTTAGACTTGTCTGCCTTCTCTGTGAGGTTACTCATGCCCTGCTTTTCCTCATGCCTTTTGGTCCCTTCATTGTAGGTCATCAATGTCCGGACCATCGGCCAGCCCACCAGACTCCGGAGTGTGGCCCAGAAAATTCTACTTCAGATTAACTGTAAATTGGGTGGTGAGCTGTGGGGAGTGGATATTCCTCTGGTGAGTGATGTTGGGATACGTCTTTTTTTTTTTTTTAATAAAGATTTAATCATTTATTTGAAAGTCGGAGTTATACAGAGAGAGGAGAGGCAGAGAGAGAGAGAGAGAGAGAGGTCTTCCATCTGATGGTTCACTCCCCAATTGGCCGCCAACAGCCAGAGCTGCACCAATCTGAAGCCAGGAGCCAGGAGCTTCTTCCAGGTCTCCTACGTGGGTGCAGGGGCCCAAGGACTTGGGCCATCTTCCACTGCTTTCCCAGGCCGTAGCAGAGAGCTGGATTGGAAGTGGAGCAGCCGGGACTAGAACCGGCGCTCATATGGGATGCCGGCGCCTCAGGCCGGGGCATTAACCCGCTGTGCCACAGCGCCGGCCCCTGGGATGCGTCCTGATTCACCTCAGTTCCCCAGAGAGTTCTGCCAGCTCTTTCCTGGTCTTCCTCATCTGGTCACCCTTCCTTCCGTTCATCAGCGCTTACCCAGAAGTCTGGGTGGCTCCCTGCCTGTGTGTGATCCATGCCCAGGAACTAAAGTATTTCTACATTTTTAAATGCTGAAAAAAAAATTAAAATAAGACTAATGGCTCATGACATGTAAAAATTATGTGAAGCAAAGTTTTTAGTGTATTTCAGTGTCCTTAAACAGAGTTTCTTTGGAACACAGCTACCCTCATTTCTGTGCTGTCTGTGCTGCCGGGTGGAAGAGTGCCTGGAGACCTCAAGGCCCACAAGGCCCACAGGCACTGTGCGTCCTCTCTGCAGGAGACGTTAGCTGATCCCCGGGCAGAACTGTGACGTTTTATTGTGTTGAACAATTGTCAGATTGGGGCTGCCAGGTTAAGCTGCCACCTGTGACTCAGGCATCCCGTATGGGCTCCAGTTCAACTCCCAGCTGCTCTGTCTGTCCTTCTCTCTCTGTAATTCTGCCTTTCAAGTAAAAAAAATAAGCCTTAAAAAACTGTCAGATTGCTTGCAGTCTGTCTTTTCCTTTTCAGAACTTACGTTATGTGTGAAAGTAGGGAGAGTTTGCTTTGGGCTGTGGATAGTAATTAAGCATGGGGTGATGGAGTTGGGTTTGGAGGTTGCCTTTGTCTTGTCTCACCCCCAGAAACAGCTGATGGTGATTGGCATGGACGTCTACCACGACCCCAGCAGGGGCATGCGCTCCGTGGTGGGCTTCGTTGCGAGCATCAATCTGTAAGTGCTGCTGCCGTTCTGTTTCAGGTGTCTGTAGTGTGGTGTGAGGGGCTCTGGGTCCCTCGTGCCTCTCTTGTTGTGACTGCTGGTTACCAGACTGGCACGGGTGTAGGTTTGTTCCCAGCTGCAGTGCTGCCTCTTCCAAGGAGGGGGCTGTCCCTTAGAGTTGGCTCCCCCCCCCAGAAATGATTTTCTTTTGTTTTCTCTGATTATAAAAATAAAATATGCTCATTCCAAGTACCTGTGGAGATTGGAAAGTGAAACTTCTTTAGGATCCACCTTTTGTTAACCATCACCAAAGGGTCAATGCATGTATGCTTCAGATTCTCTGTGCGTACGTTAGCACGTTTGCTTGTATGTGTTATATATGCACCATACAGATGCATGTGTGTGTTTCCTGTCTACACAAATGGAATATTACTGTACATACTGTTCCCCAGCTTGTTTTATTCAGTTAAGTGATGATATGTTGGACGTTCTCTTGTCGATACAAATATATCTCAATCAGTTCTTTCTTAACTGCTGCATAGAATTTATTTTAGGCTATGTCACTAACTCCTCCTGTGTTGGTGGCTATCTAAGGTAGGTAGTTAAATTTAAAGTTTCTCTATGGGATGCAGTTTTGTAGCTAATATTTGCAGTCATATGTGCATTGTTGCATTCTAGAACATGGCTTAAATACACATAACCCCCATCACTGCATGTTTCTCGTGTAACATGAATGTGTTTATTGGATGTCTGTTGGTGGACTGACTCACAGAGAAACCTGTGTGTGCTGACACTCAGACACAGGCCTCCCCTGTGACTGCTTGTTCATCTTTGTCTCTCTCCACTCGCCTGCCCCAGCACCCTTACAAAGTGGTACTCGCGAGTGGTATTCCAGATGCCGCATCAGGAGATTGTCGACAGCCTGAAGCTGTGCCTGGTGGGCTCCTTAAAAAAGTTCTATGAGGTGAGAACGGAAGTCGTGTAGTTGCTGGGTCTTACAGAAAGGCCTGCCTGGGTGAACACTTCAGCAGGAAGTTGGATGCAGTGAGCGGGATCGGGAGTCAGAGGTCAGTGTCTTCAGTGTCGTTGCTGACCCACAGCGCAAAGGTGCGGCCTTCAGCCGTCCACTTGTCCAGAACAGCTCAAAGAACTACATGCTTTGCCTTGGTTTGGTAAGTAATTCTTATTTCCCAAGTTGTCAGCGGGATGCCTGCAGCCACAATCTTCATACCCTTATCAGGGAAGTTGGGGTAGGTTTCAGCAATTAAAGAAGCTATGCGTGTACTCAGCTTTTTATGGCCGTCATTAGGCGCTGGCTCTTTTCATTTTAGTTCAAGACAAATGCCTCCCTGTCAGTCACCCCCTAGAACTCCAAGGAATGTGAACCTTGGAGAATTGCTGTCATTAATCTGATACTGGGTCGAACAGTGAGCTTGCAAAGCATGGGTTTTTGTCTTGGCCAGTACATCAAAGGAAGCTCTGATAAGTGGGTTTCGTTCTCAGGGTCAGGTCAGGGTCAGCCCCTTGCATGGAGATCGAACAGCAAGAAATCTATGGTTTGGTATCATTGAGTCAGTCTCTAGAATCCACCTCGTCTTTTTATGCTTTATTCCTCACAGTGTTCTGCAAACAGTTTGATGCTGTGTAGGTGTTACAGAGTTTGTAAAAAGAAAAAAAAATTCACACTTGTCTGCAAGAGGGTCCATGTGATATGCTGCCTTGTCTCCGAGTTCTGCCGGGTCTTCCCGTTTCTTCTTGTTTTCCTTTGGGTCCTGTTTGTGGTCTGGGACCCAGCTTTGAGATGACCTCCATGAAACCCCATTTTCCATCCCTAGCTAGAATTGTTGCTTTATACTCCTCTCCCCGGCCCAGGGGTGTGTTCTGTGAGTAGTTACTGTTTCCTGCCAGGGTTGTTATTTGTGTTCTTATTTGTTTCTCCTCCTGAGTTGTGAATTAGTTGAGCACTGGTTGGTTATTGATGACTCTGTACCACCTCAACCTAAAACTTAGTGGTGTACACTGAGCTGGGGTGATGTTCATGGTCAGGAATTTGGGCAGTGCACAGTGGACTCCAGCTCTTTCCTCACGGACTGTTTGGGCTTCCTTACACTATGGTGGCTGGGTTCAAACAGGAGGAATCGGTGAGATGGAGAGAGCCAAGTGGAAGTCATGTTGCTTTTTATGCCATTGCCATGAAAGTGCTGCAGTGTTATTCTTGCATTCTGCTTGTTGAGCTATACCTCGGTTGAAGGAGAGGGATAGATCCCACTTGCAAGTTGAGGGTGGCAAGGATCTAGAAGAACATGAGCTCTTGGAGATGTCATGGCTGCTTTCCGAGGGCGCGCTCTGCCGCAGCACAGGCATTGGCTCGGTTACTTTTCCGTTCTCTACAGTGCCGCGCACACAGCTGCCTCTTGGGGACGTTCCTCTTGATGTGTTACATAGAATTTCTAGTGCCACATATCTGTCCTAAGTGTAATAACAGTTTGTTTTGCCTTTTTTTTTAGCTTAGCTATGAACTTAAATAATATTTATTAAGCTCCATTGAACCAAGTCAAAGAGAAAATATATTTATTCTAAGTCTAGAATAACACTAGTCACCCAAGTGTTTTCTGGATCAACAAGTTTCATTTGATTCAAACCCTTACTGTTACCCTCATCTTGTACCTGCTTTTGCTACTTTACCAACTGTTCTGCCCTTAGCAGAACAAATCTTCATATTTAAATTGTTTTCATCATGTTTCTTCCAGAACTTCTCTCATTCCATCGTGGTCCAAAAGCATATTATATGCCCTTGTGTACGGTTCTGACTCCTCTGGGTTGCCTGTTTTATCTGATGTTCCCATACCTCTAAATAGTTCTCGTTTTACACGTTTTCATTTCTTTCTTTCCTTCCTTCCTTCTTTTCTTTTCTTTCCTTTCCTTTCCTTTCCTTTCCTTTTCCTTTTCCTTTTCCTTTTCCTTTCTTTTCTCTTTTCTTTCTTTTCTTTCTTTCTTTCGTCAGAGGAGACAGAGAGAGACAGAGAGAAAGGTCTTCCTTCCATTGGTTCACTCCCCAAATGGCCGCAATGGCTGGAGCTATGCCGCTCTGAAGCCAGGAGCCAGGAGCTTCTTCCTGATCTCCCACGCGGGTGGAGGGACCCAAGCACTTGGGCCATCCTCCACTGCTTTCCCAGGCCATAGCAGAGAGCTGGATTGGAAGAGGAGCAACTGGGACTAGAACCCGGTGCCCAAATGGGATGCTGGCGCCACAGGTGGAGGATTACCAAGCGAGCCACAGCGCCGGCCCCTTTGTCTCCATTTACATCATTGATTGCTAGTCTGGGTGCATCTTCTCCACTCTGCGTCTTTGATTTGTCCACTCGATTCATGTTTAATAATAAAATGCACCTAAATATCTTGTTTTAAATATTTTTTATATGTAGGAGTTACACACACACACTCACACACACAGGTCTTCCATCCAGTGGTTCACTCCCCAACTGGCTACAATGGGCAGGGATGGGCCAGGCCAAAGCCAGGAATCAGGAGTCAGGAATTCTTCCAGGTCTCCCATGTGGGTTGCAGGGGTCCAAACACTGTAGTCCCCTTCTGTTGCTTTCTGAGGCACATGAGCAGGGAGCTGGATGGAAGTGGAGCAGCCGGGGCTCAAACCGTCAATGGGATGCCAGCATTGCAGGCAGTGGCTCTGTTACACCACAACGCCGGGCCCACACCTCTATCCTTTCCTTAAATAGTTGATTTTTCTAATTTCCCTTTGCTGTGTTGGGATTTTCCTTGGTGGATACACTTCCCTTAAAAGCATGCCATGGAGAAGGGGGTGCATTTAGCCTAGTAGTTAAGATACCTACAGACCCAGCCGTAGCTCCTGACTCCAGCTTCCTGCAATTGTGGATCCTGGGAGGCAGTGGTGGTGCTGAAGTAGCTGGGTTCTTACCACGTATGAGTGAGAACTGCACTGAGTTCCTGGCCCATTGTGGTGGGCAGGAGGTGTGACGAGAGCAGTGGGAGCTCTTGTCTCTCTCAAACGAATACGCATCTTTTATACATATATAAAACGTGTGTAAGTTATATATATAGGACAGGTGTTTATCTGGCAGCTAAGATGCAGGTTAGGATGCCACGCCCCCCAGAAGACAGTCCCTGGGGTTCGTATCTAGCTCTGGCTCCTGACTCCAGGTTCCTGCTGGTGCAGACCCTGGGAGGCCGCAGTGCAGACTACCGCGTGAAACCTGAATTGAGTTCCTGATGCTGGCTCCAGCCTGAGCCAGCCCCAGCTGTTGTGGGCCTCTGGGAAATGAACCAGCACAGGGGGGAGTCTGTTCTTGCTCTTGTGTGTACTCTCTCTTGCTGTCTCTAAAGTTACAACAAAGCTTCAAGTTGTGATGGCTGTCCTGTCTGAAGCCAGGCACTTGAATTTTCAGAAGTTGCTTTACCAGTAACATTTTCCTTTTTGGCACACGGTCCATATTCATTCATTACGTAACTGTTTAGTAAATGATTATTGGGCCCTGGACACTGTTCTAGACACTGGAGAAACAATGATGGACAGAAAAGGTGAGGCCACGCTTTCCCACGGCTTCTGTTCTACTGGGGGTGATTTTTTTTTGTTTATGTAGTTGTCTGTATGTTATATAATGATGTGCGTTATGTACATTTAAAAATAATTATGGGCCGGCGCTGAGGCTCACTAGGCTAATCCTCCACCTGTGGCGTCAGCACCCCGGGTTCTAGTCCCGGTCGGGGCGCCGGATTCTGTCCCGGTTGCCCCTCTTCCAGGCCAGCTCTCTGCTGTGGCCTGGGAAGGCAGTGGAGGATGGCCAAGGTGCTTGGGCCCTGCACCCCATGGGAGACCAGGAGAAGCACCTGGCTCCTGGCTTTGGATCAGCGCAGCGCGACAGCTGTAGCGGCTATTTGGGGGGTGAACAACAGAAAAGGAAGACCGTCTTCTCTGTTTCTCTCTCTCACTGTCTAACTCTGCTTGTCAATAAATAATAATAATAATAATAATGTATAATTTTTTAATATTTGTTTTCATCTTATTTGAAAGGCTGAGTGGCAGAGAAGAAGAGACAGAGATCCCTACATTCCCAACACAGTCAGGACTTGGACACATTGAAGCCCGGAGCCTGAGCTCGAGCGGGGTCTCCCACATGGGTGGCAGGGACCCAAGTACTTGGGCCATCTGCTGCCGGCCAGGCTGTGCTGTAGCAGAAAGCTCTATCAGAAGTAGATCAGCTGGTTCTTACACTAGCACTTCCATATGGGATCCAGGCATCTTAAGCAGCGACTTAATTGCTGTGCCAAATGCCTGCCCCTAGGTGTAGATTTTGAATTGTTGTTTGGTACACTTCAAAAGGGATATAGTGGAGCTGGTGCTGTGGCACAGTGGGTTAAAGCCCTGGCCTGCAGCGCTGGTTCTAGTCTGGTTCGTGTCCCAGCTGCTCCTCTTCCAATCCAGCTCTCTGCTATGGCCTGGGAAAGCAGTAGAGGATGGTCCAAGTGCTTGGGCCCCTGTACCCACATGGGAGACTCAGAAGAAGCTCCTGGCTCCTGGCTTTGGATCTGTGCAGCTCTGGCCGTTGCGGCCACCTGGGGAGTGAACCAGCGGAAGGAAGACCTGTCTCTACCTCTCTCTGTAACTCTGTCTTTCAAATAAATAAAAATAAATCTTTTAAAAAAAAGTGATATGGTAAAAGAAGTGGCTAGGTAGTTGCTCTAGGTTGGGTTGTCATGGAGGGCCTGTTTTCTGATATCTGAGTAACAAGGAAGAGCCAGCCATGTGCAGGGAGGCACACAGGCAAAAGGAATGGCTGGCACTTCAATGGCTTTAAGGTGGGAATAAGCTTGGTGGTGTGGTGTGTTCAGGGACTGAACAAGTTCAAGGCACTGGTAGGGCAAGAAGTGGTCAGATTATGTTTTTGTCTCTTAGTTGGGATTTTACTGTTTTTGAGTTTAGGCAAA